TATGCAAAATCCCATACACAGTGATTTTAGGAAAATATATAGCGCATAAAAAAAGAAACAGAACAAAATTAGTGCTTTACCATAAATAATTCAGGCTATTATTTTAATTTTCCTTTCAATTTATATACAAAGATATCATTGAGATACCTAAAAATACATGATTAATTCACTATGCTTTCATTCTACAGATTCAGATGTGGATGATTATAGAGAAAGTGATGAGATACTAGTTATCTCAACAACAGAGATTAATTCGAGTGCATTAATGTGTACAATTCACCTTAAACTAAATTTTGATAGGTATTAAAACTGAAGTACACAGTTATTCTAAAGTAATTTGGATGCAACCAACTGAATCTCTATTAATAGTGCATAGGTAAGATATGTGAAAAACTAATTATCTATTTAAAAATACAGAGGAGGACTTTTATTGTTGGAAATTATTATCTTAATCCAATTAAAATAGACTTTAAAAAAACCTTTTTGTGGTAGAAATTCCCAAGATGATGACATAGGAGGCTTCTAGTTTCCATAGGAACTCCCCTCCTCCTACAAATGCACTGAATGTACAGCTTCACACAGAGCAATTTCCTCTGAAAGAAATCCAGAAACTAGCTAAGTGACTCCTACACATTGAAACAGTGGGAAAGGTTGAGACACACTCTCGTCATAAACCCCAACCCCAGCAGAGTGCCATACAATCTGGAGTGAGCTCCCTGCTTCCAGCTGTGGAAGCACAGTATAACAAAACTTATGAGATGCAGCAAAAGCAATTCTAAGAAGAAAGTTTATAGTAATAAACACCTACATTAAAGAGAAAAAAGTCACAAATAAGCACCCTACATTTACACCTCAAGAACCTAGAGAAAGAAAAACAAACTAAACCCAAAGTCACCAGAAGGAAGGAAATAACAAAGATCAGAGCAGAAATAAATGAAATAAAAACCAGAAAAAGAATAGAAAGCATACAAAAAAAATTAAGAGCTGGTTTTTGAGAAGATTAAAAAAAATGACGTCTTTAGTTAGACTAAGATAAAAAGAAAGAGGACTCAAATAAATAAAATTATATGTGAAAGAGGAGACATTACAACCAACACCACAGAAATACAAAGGATCATAAGAGACTTCTATGAACAATTATACACCAACAAATTGGACAACCTAGAAGAAATGGATAAATTCCTAGAAACATAGAACGAACCAAGGCTGAATCAGGAAAAAATAGAAAATCTGAATAGATCAATAATGAGTAAGGAGATTGAACCTCTCAACAAAGGAAAGCCCTGGACCAGATGGTTTCACTGGTGGATACTACCATATATGTAAAGAACAATTCTATTTTATCAATTAAATCTCAATAAAGTTGGAAAAAAACACTTTTGTTTGTAAAATTGTATAGAATCAATGTTCAGCTGAGTTTCTTGGTAACAAATATGCCCTTTGAAAGGTGATGAAACATTGAAATTAACCCAAGTCCTGCGTTCTTGTTCCTTTGATAAGTTAAAACACTAAATTATTGCTATAAATACTATAATAAATGATATAATGTAAATAATTATTATTCATTGCTAAATGCAATTAATAGCAAATACAACCTCAAAAAAATCAAGCTTTTATTTATAAAGTAAAGAATTGATTTCCTAAAGAGCATTTAAAATGTCAGAGAAATTAATGAAGTATTTATAAATAATATAATGTGATAATAATTAGCAGGATTTAAACACTTACCATGTACAAGACACTAGTCTGATTGTGAAAGTTGATTTTATTCTCACAAGAACTCTTTGATGTAAGTATTGTTATTGCCCCTTTTCATCAAAGAAGAAACTGAAGTAAAGGGAGATTAAATAATTAAATGCCCAAACTCACAGCTAGTAAGTGATAGAGACAGATGTGAAATCCATTCGGACAGCAGAGCCTGTGCTTCTAATATGTATGCTTTGTTGACTCTCTGCTAATGTTCGATTAACTTTTGTCTTAATCCCCAGGATAATTATAAAATTACAATATGCTACTGTAAATTAGATTTTGCTTCCGTAATGGTTTACCAAATAGAAGATGCTCACAACTTTCTCAGGAAACTGAGCACATTATTTTTGCCAGTTGAAATTCATTCAATAGAAATATGATACATTAGGTACCTCTAAGGATTTCTTAAAGTGGAAATATGTATTTACTAGGACTAGACTTGAAAGTACTAGATCTAAGAGATTGCTTTGGGAATGTGAAAAGGTCATTATTCGCTGGCTTTCCAGTAATTTATTTTGAATTTGTTAAATTCATTGATGTGTGAACTGGTTATCAAAGCTTGATAAACAGTTTATAAATCACTTTGAAGTTGGCAGAAATAAATATTAATGAGTCAATTTTCAATGAATTTAAAGCCAGTTTCTCCTTCTTCTGTCACCATAAGTAAAAAAGAGAATCTCAGTTGTTTTATTTAGAAAAAAGTCTACAATTTATCAGTAATTATTGATGTTTCTCAAGATAGTCATAAGACTATTTCTTATATGAATGTTTCTCAAGATAGTCATAAGACTATTTCTTATATGAAATCGAACTCTTTGCTTAAAAGAAAAGAATGGTCTTTGAAAAGCCACCAAGGAGTTTCATATGACAAAAGTTTTGTTTAAAATTTGTTTATAAAACACAAGCACGACGATGATTCTAGCCCATTGAGATACTAAAGTAACCTGCTTCACTGTTTTCTCAGGACTGGCTTCAGAACAGGGAAAGAAAAAAGCAAGTTCTCAGGTAGCAACTACCTTGTCAGATCCTTACCCTCGTTATCTCCCTTAAACCATGACTGCCCCTTCTTCACCCAGGCAAGTCAGACTCAAAAGGTTTTAGCAGCTTGCCCAGGTCACATGTCTAATGAGTAGCAAAATCACGATTTGAAAATATGTCTAGTTAACCACAAACCTGTGTTATTTTAGTCTTTGATATAGAAAAAGTAATTTTCTCTGTGATGATTTTTAAGGATACCAAAGCCTCTCCAGGTCTCCAAAATACATAATAAGAAGGATCTTAAAAATAAATTCAGGGCCAGCCCCGGTGGCCTAGTGGTTAAGTTCCATGTGCTCTTCTGCAGTGGCCCAGGTTCAGTCCCTGGGTGCAGATCTAGACCGCTTTGTTAGCCGTCATGCTGTGCTGGCAGTCCACATACTAAAAAATAGAGCAAGATTGGCATGGATGTTAGCTCAGGGTGAATCTTGCTCAGGAAAAAAGAAATCTATCTACTTATATACATTAGAAAACCTTGGCCCTGAATGATTAAATGGCATTCCCCAAACTAATAATCAAGTCTGGACTTGGTTTCAGATTCCTTGTGCCTGTTTTCCCTTTGGAGATACTCAATATCATAATACTGACATTTTGTTTCCTCGATCTAAATGCTTATTCCTCATAATTATGAAATACTTGAAACCTCAGAAATCTTTATACTCTCATTTTGAGTGTTTTACTATATCCCTTTCAAAAGTTCTGGCACATATCTGATCTCTGTAAAGGAATGAGAGATTGCAAAAAAGACCAAGACCGTGATATATGGTTGGGAACATTATTCACTGTATAAGAACACCCAGCCGAATGGAACAGTGAGTGGGAGTTGAAATCCAGCTCACACTCTACCTGACAAGCCATATCATGGTGTGGCTTCCATCTAAAGAGGGCACCATTTCTAATTTGCATAAAGGTACCGTATAAGTGCACACAGGCTCTGCAAAAACCCTGAAAGTTAAGAAGAAAAAGGGAGAAGGTGGTTAGACATACAGATTTTCAGATCCAGTTTCTATCAGAAATTAATTTAAGGAACTGACTTAGAAAGTTAATAATGAGAACGTTTATTAATTCGGTAAATCAGTGCCAGAGTGGGGAGATGTATTCTGTTGGCACTGAGGAGTCTAATTTTATTTCGTGAGAAAAGATTTAGGATAAACATCAGCAGCGTGTCCTATTTCACTGTGTGGGATATGAGAACTATTACTAAGGGAGCCTGTGACTATTTAAGAAAATAGCTTTACGGAAGGTGGGGGAAACAGAAAACTCTCATGTCCTTTGATTTGATGTTTCTGGTTCTTGAAGTCTTCTTGGAATAAAACATCGTGATGCTGTATATACCACACTTTGAAAGATCTTCACACCATCACTGTGACAGATTTTGGAGAGTCTCTGAAGAAATACTTTTGAACATTAAGCTATCAAGTCTTCACTTAATGAATACATAACTGAATTTTCTCTTTTAAAGCTGAATTCCTTTGAAACACTAACTATCCATTTTTTGAATACTGCGTACCATACTATGTAGTTTGCATACATATTGCCTATCTTCCCCAAAAAGAACACTCTAAAATTTATATTACTCTTCTTTCTTTATCAATGAGGAAATTGAGGCTCAAAGAAGCTAAGGGACTTTCAAACTACTGCCAGACCGCAGATTCAAATTCATGCCAGTCTCAGGGGCTGGCCCAGTGGTCCAGTGGCTAAGTTCGCACGTTCTGCTTCTCAGCCGCCCCCAGTTCACCAGTTTGGATCCTGGGTGCGGACATGGCACTGCTTGGCACACCATGCTGTGATAGGCATCCCACATATAAAGTAGGGGAAGATGGGCACGGATGTTAGCTCAGGGCCAGGCTTCCTCAGCAAAAAGAGGAGGACTGGTAGTAGTTAGCTCAAGGCTAATCTTCCTCAAAAAAAAAAAAAACAAAATTCATGCCAGTCCTGACTTTAAACCTGAGACCACTCTACCTCACTGAACTAATTCTATGAGAAGGCTTCTACTTAGAGTAAAAAGTGGTATTTTAGCTAACCAAATGTTTAATGTAAGACATAAAATATGTATCTTCAATCGAATATGACAACCCATGAATTCTCCCACTATTTCCTAAAGTATTAACTTGTTAATCTCCCATAATTTTAAAGTACATAGTGATGTGCTTACACTCAACAAACTTTATATAAGTTGTAAGAAATCAGACAGGAAATGCAGAGTGGCTGCTTACCCGTGCCGATAAGTTTTGTCCATCAACGTGAGCCTGCATCACAGCATCATTAACAAGCAAGTGGAAGTTCAAGAGCACGTGTTCAATGTCATATGTTCCATGCATGGCATCTGACAGCTCTTCCAACGACCGGATGTACGCATGCCAGTGTGGATTAAGCTCTGCCACGTGTGCCAAGCAGCCTCTCATGACGTTGAGACAGTACCCCATACAAGGCTTACTGAGAGTCAGGCCCTGGCAGTGAGGGCAGTACTCCATCCTCAGAAGGACTCTGCCGCACTCTTTGGAGAAATACAGGTGGTCTGTGGTATTGATGACTTCAATGCCCAGATTCAGTGCCTGCAGAAATGTGCGGCTGGGCAGCAGCGACCTCCCCATTTGCCCCATCACTCTTTGGGGAATATTACCAAATGGACTAACGTCCCTGCGGGCCATCCGGATGCATTCTGAGTATTCCAGGCTGCTTTCAGTCACACCAGGGTTAATGAGATGATTGTAGACTAGAGGGAAAAGACTGTCAAAGAATCTGTTTACAAATTCTTCAGGATTAACATCCGCACCAAATAAATAGAGCCCTACATCAGTGAAGAACTCCTGAATTGAAGCAGCAGCCTCTAAGGCCATGTTCCTGTAGGTGTTGCAAAAAAGTATGCTGGTGTAATTTTCTGCTTGTCTGATGAGAGTTTCAAGGGTCTCTGTAAGAAAAGCAGAAGTAAAGGATGAAAAGGCTTAGTATTCATACTGAAACTGTTCATCCATCTGCTCCAGACAGTAAATGAACTTAATGCATTAAATTAACCTAAGTCTCTAACCGGAAATGCTCAATCTACTGAACCCAATTTAGCTCTCCAAGGATAATGGCTGGTCAACAGTGGGCACTACACACAACAGGCAAGTTTTATAGAAAAGTGTTTCCTAGAATTAAACACTTTTAAAAAGTATAGCAATCCAAAAGAAGGTATATGTATGGCAGTTTCTTACTTATTTTATTCCATAGTCATGCATAACCCAGCAATGATAGAAAAAATGGTGTCACTGAGAAAATAATTTCTGACCACAAGTTCATTATTTATAAAAGACTATGACATTAAATACTTGATTCAACACTTATTCTGTTTTTATAGTTTTTTTTTTTCTTTTTCAGAATGAATGCTAGTACGTTGTACACTAGTTACTGCAAAGAGAGGAAAAATTTCCAAAGGGAAACCTGACAATTCTCAGACCTCACAGCCTGTTCAAATTTAAAAGAAAGCAAAACATTTCACAATTAAACTGCTCCTCAATTGTCAAGTGGTATTAACTGTTGAAAATAAATAATTGTATGACCACCTTCTCAACTGCCTTCTGATGTTCTTATCATCTTATGTTCAAAGACTTAACTGTAGGACATTTTATTTTCTTACTTAAGTAACAGATGCTTCCAAATGAATTTATCCATCAAGAAAACCGAGAATAATTATACACAAATCAAGGGAGAAATCTAAAAATAGGAGGTTTTAGTATTCAGCAAGTAAAAACTGTATTTCAAAATGATAGCTTTAGGCAGCAGTAGACCACCTTGGATAATCTAGTAATTAAGTTTTATAATTAGCCAAAATAAAGACACTGGACTGTATCAATACATAATTATAAAATACATCAATAAAATTAACTTCCATAACCCCAATCTCATAGTTATTTTTAATTAGGTTATAAAAGACCACACAATAGCACAGTAATCAAACCATTGAATATATTATAAAAAGAGATGGAACGACAGTAGAATAAAATGAAATAATAAAAAGCAGAGGTGCAGGGAGAGCTACTGATGAAGTGGAATTGCGTTATGAATATGCCATAGCATCCAAAAACAAATAAACAAAAGAATACTTTCATGAAGAGCACAGACAGATAAAATACTATACAGTTATTTGTCACTTAATGACAGGGATACATTCCGAGAAATGCACCATTAGGCAATTTTGTCCTTGTGTGTACATCATAGGGCCTACTTACACAAACATAGATGGTAGAGCCCACTACACATCTTGACTATATGGTCTTAATCTTATGGGACCACCATTGTATATGCGGTCCATCGTCGGCATTGTTATATGGCATATGACTATATCATGTATTCTGATTCTGTTCTGAGAATAATTCATGTTGGGTTCCAGGCTGTAGTGTGATATATCAAGGGGCGTGCTAAAGACTAAATGTTTGTGTTTCCCCCAAAATTCGTATGTGGAAACCTAATCTCCAAAGTGATGGTATTTGGAAGTGGGGCCTTTGGGAGGTGATTAAGTTATGAAGGTGGAGCCTCATGAATGGAATTAGTGCCCTTATAAAAGAGACCCAGATAATCTGAAATCCAATCAACGACGAAAACTGTAAACAATTGTTCTCTACACATTTGATTCCTTAATGCTTAGGGATAAACATACTTTTGTGACTTTTGGTCCTAATGGCTTCATAAAATTTTAATATATAAATATTTATATCAGAAACTGAACAATCTAGAAGCCAATACATTGGATGATTTTCTTAATAATTTTTTTGTGAAAAGTTTTTTGTGAAAAGTTGATAAAATCAGAAGTTAAATATACTAAAATTAGTTGTTTGTATTGACTCTGAACTTGCAAAACTCTCACTTTGTTCATGTTTACCATGAAGTTGCGTTTCCATTTTATGCAATTAACATTATGATTTTAACAAGAGCTTAAATTTGTCAAAAGAACAAAATATTTTGCTGCTCTGCAAAAGAATAATCCATATATAAAATCAGTGTTTATAAATTAAAGGAAGGTTAGGTGCTGAATAATCCATCATATTTACTTAATTATTACAGAGAAACTATACAGTTCTTTTCATTACAAAGTTTTAATAAATAAAAAATACTCTTCACCCACACTGTACAAGTAACAGCTTTCTATTGATGTACCAAAAATTGTAGCATATACTGAAAAGAAATAAAAATTTGCTAGGCTTGCTTAGGAATTTAAAGAATAGACTAGAAAAAAAATTATCTTGTTTTTCATTGAGGATTTTAATAAACTCTTCTTTCAGTGATATCAGATGAAGCCCATCAAGGCAGAAAACTTCCAAGTTTCCTTTTAATGCCTAAGAGTGGTACATCAAATAAAAAGCTGCAATCTAATTACTGATTGAATAAAACATAATTTCTCCCAGCTTCATGAGAAAATTAATTTATGTGCTATATCGTTAAGTAGGAAGTGAAGTTGAAATGCATGAAGTTTATCTGCATCCACTTCAATTTTCAACATTAACATTCTATGAAAATTTAATAACAAAACACCTATAACTAGAAACTTTATATCAACTTTTTCCATATTCCCTTCAGAGACATTTTATTATATATACAAATGATTGCTGACGCTTAATTGAAGGATTTAAACTTAAATAAAATTGGTGGCGATAAAATCAGCAATATCAATTTAAAATTAAATTTGACAAATTGCAAAATCAGTAAAGATTCATATGCAGGTAGATTTTTGCAATGAGAGAAACAATATTTATAGGACTTTTATTGTTTTAAAGATAAAGTTGATTCCAAAACGTAATGATCTTGAAACAACAGCTATAATAACCTCCCCAGCATGATGTGAACAGATATTTTATGACTCTTTTCATATTTTTTACTTTTGATATGTGAACATTTTGATACAAAATTTGAAGTGTCTATTACAATTTAAGACCACAGATATACTCAAACATAGCAATGAAATAGATGAAGAAAGATTAAATCATATCGACCATGGCTAATCAGATATTTTACAATGTGTATCTGGTTTGAAGAGAAATTTTCAGAGTAAATTTACATATTTGTGCACTGTAATTCTCAAATTACAGATTTTGTTACTGCAGCAGATAATTAATTACTACCCTGCCATTTCAGAGCTAGTTTGTGGCAGAAACTATGTATGCCTCTGTACTGAATTATGGATAGATGAATAGACAGGTAGATCATCTGAAGAGCAATTTCTCACCTAGTTTTTATCACACACATTATAATAATGAATTGTAATTCCTTTTGAATTTTTTTTAACAAAAATGTCTTCGAATAATTTTAATACAACCACATTTAATAATTCCTTTAATTATCAGAAGACCATCACAGCAACTCTGAAGATAGGCATATTTAAATAAAAGAAAGAATTACCTATTTCTCCACTCTGGAAGTGTTTATACTGAATTCATCCCTATGATCTTTGCATATTTCCTCAATTTTTTTGTAAAGTAAAATGTATAATAAAAGTTTTCTGGAATATTAATTTAATGACATTTTTAAATGTTATGCAGTATGATTTACAATATCATTCTTCAGAAATTAGTCATCTATACAAATAAATAATGAGTGGGATATTAATCTGTATCACCACAAATTAACATACTAGTCATTAATCTGGTCTCCTAGGACAAGCACTGCATGGTAAAATGCTTTCTCAACTTTTCTCCTCCCTCATTTTCTTCCTCATTAATTTGGTTATCATGGTGCTTCACATTTATTTCTAATATCATTTTACAATCATTTATGTTCTGAAAATCTATTTATGATTTTAGCAAGGATCTAAACTCAATTAAGCACTTATGTAACAGATAAAATCAGTGGCAAACAATTCACTGTAGATTGTTTCACGAATTTTTATGGGGGGAAGATTTTAAACCAAATCTCCTAATAATCTTTAAAATAAACCCAGAAACACAATTTAGAAATAGAAAAAGTGATATAAAACTCAGTGATTTTAGTGACATTCTCACTCGCTAATTTATATAATCTTCTATTTTTATACAGAATTAAAAAATCAATATCCTTTATTGGTGGTTCTTCTTCCTCTTTTGTTTTTTTGTTAATTTCATACTCTAAGACATCATTCTCCTTTACTTAAATAAACAAAAACCTCTATGTCACTTTACCTCATAATCTCTGCCCTCATTTTCTCTTTTTGACATCTCAAGAAAATGAGATGTTGCATATTTTCAGTTTATGTTGACACATTGCTCATTCCCTCTTCGATCTATTCAAGTCCACTTTCTTTTGCCACTCATTACTGCATCCATCCATTCAATATTTTTTGAGCACCTGTTATAGCCTTTAAAGCTAAAGTTGAACAAGCTATACAAATTTCTCTCCTCATGAGGCTTAGACTCTAAAGGGTAGGAGAGAAAGTATAAAAGCAAACAAGTAAATAAATATGATTTGTGGTAAGTAAATACTATGGAGGAAAAAAAGAGTAAAGGATATAAAATGATGGTAGCATGTCTTGGATGGCTCAAGGTCAATTTGTTCATAACCAATTCATTAAAAGGAAATTAATCAAAGGTAAATTCCCTGATTAATCTATTCCCAATAGCAAAGTTTCTGAATTTACCAAGTATATCCAAACTATATATAATGTTTCGTTATTTGGCAAATTTAAAAAATCTGATTTTGGGAAACTGGTTTGGGCAATTTGATTTTTTATAGATTGACCATTCGAGATAAGATAAGCAAGAAAACCTTCTCTGAGGAAGCAACGTTTGAGGAGAGACCTCAATGAGGAAAAAGAGAGCCAGCCATGAGAAGATAAGGAATGGTTTGCAGGTTCAGAGGAACTGGAATGCAGGGTTCTGATGTGTGAAGAAGCTTGTTGACTTTGAAAAAATAGAGGAAAGTCAATGTGATTGGAAACAAGTGAATGAGAGTAGGGGAGAAAGGTCAGAGAAG